ACCATCCCGCCATGGCACTGCTCTTGTCAGGGCCCATTGGAGCTGGCAGCGTCTCCACTGCCGCCCACAGTCAGTGCCTCGTTGCCTACGCCCGCCATGTTCTGTGCCGCCCCCGGTGGTCAGCACACATTATAGTGAGCAGTCGAAATCCCAGTTGAACTCCCGGTTGAGGGGACAATTTACATATTAGGCTTTTATTATATAGGATTATTAATAACGAACTACAATGTTTGCTAATGACTGATTACCATAATCGTGTTGTATTCATTTCCCTTACATGCCTTATGGGCAGGCTCACCACTTCTCTCCACTAATACTAGCAGTGAATATTTTAGCAGCCGATTGCCACGTTATTAGTCTTGGACTGACTTGTTTGGTGTGCACAATGGGAAATATTTCATTTTCAGAGAACAAAAAAAATGGGTTTATTTGCATAATGCTTATTAATTTGTGCAGTTATTCAGTGTCTGGTAAGTTAATGTTCAAGAAAAAATTTTATTAAAATGTTCTATTAATTTGTTAACGATTACTCATTTATTTCAGCCCTTTGTATTCAGCATGTCTCTATCAAAATAAACCTACGTTTCGCCCTAACCGGTTTGGCTCAGTGGATAGAGCATCAGCCTGTGGACTGAAGGGTCCCAGGTTCGATTCTGGTCAAGGGCATGTACCTTGGTTGTGGGCACATCCCCAGTAGGGGGTGTGCAGGAGGCAGCTGATGGATGTTTCTCTCTCATCGATGTTTCTAACTCTCTATCCCTCTCCCTTCCTCTCTGTAAAAAATCAATAAAATATATTTAATAAATAAATAAATAAAAAACCTACGTTTCTATGAAAAGTGAAGTTTTGGGGGGTTTTTTTGCAGCCCACATAAACCTAAACTTTGTTTATTTGGCCCGTGTTAGCCTTTGAGTTTGACATGCTTGTTTTAGGCTATCTATTTGTGGTATTTTGTTATAGAAGCCACAGGAAACTAACATATATCCTTCACTATGGAAAACTGATATGACAATTCCTTGGCATGTTTAGGATGACAAAATAAGTCTTACCATAGTTTTGAAAAATCAACCACGAAATATCATGAAAAAGTTAGATTTGCTTGATCTGAAAATCAATAAATGGAAAATCATTTAAGAAATGGATCCTTCTAACACATAAGTTCAAAAGACAACAGAATGGAAAATTCTTGATTCTGAGCATATTATAGTGAGTGTGGCATCCTAGGGTACAACTAAGACTAACTGAATAAAGTGAAATTGTTGGAGTTGAGAAAAGGAAATTGAGATAGTCAGGTTTACCAAGATTTATTGATTAAAGTTCCTTATACAACTGATTAGTTGTCTCACCCCCATTGTTCACTTTCTCCATCTGCAGTCTTTGTACCTGAACATACTACAAAACTTTTATTTTTTTTGCTAAAGTGCCAATAATGTATGAGGACCTTTTTGTCTGTCAATGATCAACAATTTCAGCAAGGAACATGACAGCAATCACACCTTGTTCCATGAGGGTCTCTTTATATATTCACAATTGACCCACTAAAGGTCTGGCAAGTAAAGAAGCTGGGTAAAAAAGGCAGTAGTGATAGTTCACTTGTCCTTAGCCAAGTAGAATCCTGTCCCAGTTTCAGGATTGAAGACCATCATGATCCCAGTCATTTCATAAATACTCACTTATTCACAGGTGAATAGAATTTTCCCCTACATACATATCTATCCTAATCAATTCCATCAGGGCCATTGTCAAAAAATTTGTTGGTGCCACAGTCTTTTTCCAGCATGGGGCATACTTACATCAAATTTCCATCATGATGATTGTGTCCAATGACAAAGAAAAACTTTTATAAAAATTTTAAATAATCATCCCTATTTCATTAGTGAGGAAATTTAAACTTCATTTCATGAAGATACATTTCTATTTTTCAAAATGCTGAAACTACCCTCAATTACT